TACTTGGCTCCAACAATGCGCGGATGTCAAAGCCCTGAATCAGGCGAACCTCAACAAGCATGCAAGATCGAACAATCCTTCCGATCAAAGCTTTAAAAATTGAATCAAACCCCTCGCAAACCCGCCGGACAGCCGACTGCTTCAAACCAAAAATTCTCCCCCTTTCTCTCACGATAACAAAATCTTGCTGAAGGTTTAGGTTTGCTTGTTTAAATAAGTCAAACTGTGTAAAAATCTAAGCAAAAGTTGGCCCCTTGTCAGTGCATGGTGATCTCTCACTAGTCGGTGGCTGACTGGTTTTTTTTTTTTTATTTAATTCGTGTCACAACATTTTACTTCAATGATAAAGTTTTTATTATTTCCAACCATTAAAATATCATCTATGTATAATAACATTATAACAAACTTTCTTTTAACTCTTTTAACATAGATGCAATAGTCCTCGTTAATTATTTTGAAATCATATGCAATAACTGTATTATAGAATTTTATATTCCACTGTCTTGATACTTATTTAAGGCCATAAATTGATTTTTTTAATTTATACTCTTTGTACTTTTGACCTTCAATAGTAAAAGGTATAGACTATTGCATGTAGATTTTCTCATCAAGATCGCTATTCAGGTAAGCTATTTTTATATCTATTTGATGTAATTCTAAATCTAATTGTGCTATTAAGGCTAGAATTAGTCGAATGGATAAGGAAAGAATGTTTCCTGATTTTAACAAGAAGTCTGGCTTTATATTTATTGAATGAACTATCAGCTCTATGCTTATTTGAGAACCCAATTGTTCCTAGTGGCTCTTTGGCTTTTAGGTAGGTCGACTGAATCTCAAACTTTACTGTCTTTCATAGATTTTATCTATTCTTCTATTGTGTCCTTCCACTGTTCCTTAGTTAGACAATTTAATATCTATTTCATAGTACGTGGTTCTTCTTCCTCTATATGAGTGACTATGAGGGCTTTTCCCTCAATATCAAATCTACAACAAGGAACAGGTTTTTTCAAATTCTTTCTCAATTCACGCTGTTGGGGACAAGATTGGTCTAGTAACAAATTACCTTTATTAGTTGGGGGAAAAATATACTTCTATCTAGATGTTTATTGATGAAAGCATATCCTTTTAAACATTCACAGTATCTAATAAAAACATTTTTTTTCCTCTTAGACTAAGCTTCCTACATCTAGGAGAAATATCTTTGACATAAGCAGGAGACCTCCAATGTCTTAAATTACTTAGGTTAGGTTTTCTAACAGTCCAAAGTTCATAAAAATTTCATGGAACTGATTTACAAGGTGCTTGACTAAAGATATGGATGGTTGTTAATAAAGCATCACCGTAATAGGAGATTGGCAATTTAGCTTATGTCATAATTGAACTAACCATTTTGAGAAAAGTACAATCTATTTTTTTAGCAACTTCATTCCATGGGAGAGTTTCGGGAATAGTTAACTGTCGTAATATTCCTCTTTTATTATATATTGTTTTGAATTGATCAAATAAATCCATGGTCAATTCTTAAAGTCATAACTTTTCTCTCAAGTTGATTCTCAACTTTATATAGAAATTGTTTGAAACACTCTAGTGCTTTAGACTTATGAGAGATAAGATATACATGACCATAATGTGAAAAATCATCAATAAATATAATGAAATAAGAGGCCTCATGCTTCACCCTCATATTTAATGAACCACATATATTTGAATGAATCAATTACAATAGACATTAGAATAGTTGTCTATGGTTAGAAATGGAATTAGAACTCGAAAAAGGACATACAAGGGGATTTAGAAACAGGAGGGGCATTTTGGTCTTTTTCCATAGGGCCCTTATGCCGAATTAAGGGAGGGATATAAAAGCCCTCCAACCCTCCAGAAGCACCATTTAGTGCAAGCTAGAGAAGAAAAGAGGGAGAGAAAGAAAGAAAGAAAGAAAGAAAGAAGAAGAAGAAGAAGAAGAAGAAGAAGAAGAGAAAATAAGCAAGAAATTTCTAGATACATTTAGAAATTTCAATTTTTGTGTCAGAAAACTTGCATATTTTGATTATATCTCTACTCAACTATCATTTGTTCGAAGAAACAAAGAGTTTTGAATTGATTTGGTTGTTGAAACTGTGCTAGCTGAAATTCTAGAGAGACAACAAAGCCTATGCTAATTTATGATTTTGAAAGAAACTTGTGGAATCATGTTCTACCTTGAAAATTTGGCATTTTTATGAATTTGTTTGGAGTTTATGTGATATTGATGATGCTGGAATCAGGATAGGCAACAAGGAACTTCATGTGGGAACAAAGAAAGGGGAAGAAAATGGCAAGAAAGGTAAGGGAATTAAAATAAAATCCACAGTAGAGCAATCTTAGGCATGCAGAAAAATTTTCTGCACGTATACCTAGGAAGGCCAAATCAACTAGGGCTAGGAAAGGGTTTCTTTTTATTCAAAATTTGTGCTAACAGGTATATTAGAGAATGGTTAAGCTAAAAGAGGAGAAACCTATGGGGAAAAACCAAATTTTGACTCTAAGGTAGGCTACACCTAAGTAGGAGATTGAAGTGATGTGTGCAAAATTTTTTTGCATTATACCTCTTTTAGGCCACGAATTCAGGTAATGAAATAGGCTCAGATGCAAGCCTAATAAGTAGTTAGATGGATGGTTTAGCTAGTAGAAAGGGGAGAACTGGTTAGAGAATTAAATTAGGGCTTAACCTATGCAAAACTAATTAAAGAAATGAAATGGTAAAGTGTAGAAATTTCTGCAGTAAAAGTTCAGCATCCAAGCAACTTATTTGAGACTTATTAAAGGGCATTGAGGCCTTAAATCAAGACCAATCAATAGCTTAGGAGATTATTAAAACACTTGATAAGAAAATAGGAGAAATTGGCTCAACTTGGCTTAGAACTTTGTGAAACCTAGTCAAGTATAATATAAAATATGTGTGTTAAATTGTAAGCAAAACTTGGAGGATTAAGAAGCTAATTTTGGGAGGTCCTATACCTCTCTAAAGGGGCACGAAATAGGGTGGAAAGGTGGGTTAAGGAGAGGTTCATAAGAGAGCACAAAAGTAGTAAACTAATAAAGAACAAAGGAAGACCAATCTAGAAACTATTTCAAGCATCAAAGTTAATAATCTTTCCAACTTAAGAGACTTAGAAAATGGATCCTAGGCTTCATAAAAAATAATTAAGCAAACTAAAATTGAACACAATCAAGCTAAGAAAAAGGATAAAAACATGATACTTGAGGAGAGAGGAAAATAAAGAGAAAGAAAAATATGATGTTGAGGAATGGTAAGAACCATGGCAAAATGATCTAAATCATTTAACCTTTGAATGCATTTCATCTCGCATCCATGGCATTCTAATCATGTTCCACACACTCTATACTTGTAGGCCCAAGAAATAGGGCTAAGTTAGATCTTGTTTAGGCAAAATAGACAAATCATTAGTAGGCTATACATACATTGAGTAGCATACTCTCTAAACTTAGTCTTTTTAAACTAAAATACATGTTTTATAATAAAAATGATATGTTATGCAAACTATATATGTATTTTTCTATCAAAATTTGAAAACAAAGTGCTTATGTTCTACTTTCAATATACTTGGACCTTTATGATATTTTGGTATTTCGACATTCAGACTAGTATGTCAAGCAGTCATCTGTGGCAGGTGATAGTTCTACACTCTCATGCTATAACTTTGGATCTAATGCAATCTCAGATGTTACAAATTATGTTAATCTGCCTTGGAGTGGCTACCCATAATTGCAAGCTACACAATGTACTTTTTTTTTTTGGTTAATCAGGTTATAGTGATACATTTCCAGCCTATTAGGTGCTTGAGCATGTGTTGAGAAGCAGACACATTGATTTGTGGAATGTATGCATGCTACATATCTGTGTTGTTTTGTGGGATGTACCCAAGCCACATGTCCATGTCAAATACTCCATGGGCATGCTAGAATACATATTGGACACACTGCCTGGTGTTTTATTTATTAATTTCAGATGTGTATCTTAACCCAATGGCATGTCTCTGTATTAAAGAGATTTGCTTTATATTAATTTGCAAGACTGATAAGTCTCATATGAAATTAAAACATTTGTGATTTATATATTTAGGCAACAAAGAAATTAAAAATTTTTCTTTTGCCTTTTTTTTTTTTCCTAATCGAAGGAAAAAATAGCCTAGAGGTAGGAACTTTCATTTTGTCGAATGAAGCAAGGCTTGTCGAAGGGCATGTTTGGTTTGTAGTCTTTTTACTGAAAGGATTCAGGTTCTTGCAACCAAAAGCCCTGAAAGACATGGACTTCTTCTTGTTGTTTTTTCTTTCTTTAAATTATGTAAAGCACTATCCTTGTCAAGAAACCAAACAACAAAAGCCATTTTGGGCTTTATTGTTGAAAGTCCCTTTGCCATGGGAACTAAGCAACCTCCTGGCCATCTCAGTGTCCATTCTTAAATGAATTATTCTTGTTATTTAATGTAAATGTTACTTTTATTGCTTTATTATTATTTTGTTAATGTCATAGTTGTAATTATAACGAATATATATAACTCTATTTCTCGTAGCCTTGTTCCTTCCTTGTCCATGTCCTCACTTCTCCATTGTTGGCATGTTTTTGTATGCATATTTGTGTCATGTTGGACACCATGTCTGTGTTCAAGCTTCTTAAGTTTCAGCTATGCCTTTTGCTAGGTCCTTGGGAAGTAACCGGCCAACGGTTTATTTGAAATTTGCTTCTTCAAAATGTGATAGTGGTTTGCAAGAACGTGACAATGATGAGTAATTAGGTGCAGAGAGATCATTCTTTCGGGCCAGACAAGCTGGGTAATCTTTGAAGTGTTGATTGCAGAGTATTTGATATTTATTGGTGAAGAATGGCCATGCCTTCTGTCTATGCTGAGACTGCATGACCCTTAATTGCGATTGCTTATTCATACTCTTGGTAATGTTTTCGGGAGATATTTGAATTCAGCCAAACATTTGATGTTCAGGTGAAAAAGGAAATGCTATTGGATCCAGGAGAACTGCAACAGTTCCAGAACCATTCATCTCAAATGGCAGCCCTGGATTTCATGGTTTCAGTAGCCAGTAACACCTTTGTCCCCACTTATTACGGGAACATGGCAAGAGTCGTGGAAGGTCATCGCAGGTACCTATGCTCAAACTTTACTGCTAGAGAATTTCTTTCTGAAGGAAATTGACATATCTCAATGGTCTTGAAGACATTCCTGATTAGATCTCATGCAGGTACCTTGGATTTAAAAAAACTATCCAACTTGATCGGAAAAGGCTTGTAGAATTGCTGGATTTGCATCAGAATGGAACAACATCATGGATGAGTTCTCGAGTGCTGTCAAATTGGTCCATGAGAAAAGAATGGGACAGCCAACTCGTCGTATAGTTGTTGTTGACAAGCCCAAGGAAGAAGATTATTTCTATTCAAACCCTCAAGGGTGCCTTTGTGAAGGAACAAGTTGTGATGACTTGCTAGGCCCTGTCCCTGGTAATTCAACCACAACCTGATAAAGGCCCGAGGAATTAAAAGTGTGCCCCTGATGATGGTTTCCAAGGCAATGACCCCTAGTGGACATTCTGGTTAGAGAACCAGCAGAGAAGACTTGACGTGTTTGGGCTTATATCAAATGGGCTTTCTAGATAAAATCAGAAAGTACGGGTTTGATTAGGACATCTAAGTGTGTGTGGCTTTAGACATTCAACGAGCTTTGTCAGAAGCAGCAGGAAAGAGAATAGGAAACTGCCATAGCCTCCTCGGGCATAGAAGATCCATTCATTCCTTTTGCTGATAGGTTTGAATTGCTTTGCTCTCTTCCTCTGGTGAATACGTCCAGTACAGTTACATAATTCCCACAGTTTGAAAGATGTCAGATGCAGCATCGTATTTATATTAGAAAACTCCAAAATCCCATCATTCTTTCGATTTAATACCCTCAACTCTGCTTTTAACTCTTGCGGGGGCCACCACAAATTTCATATCATGTTTTAGTTATTGGACTTTGTTATGTCTCTTGACTACCGTTAAGTTTTGTGAATTAAGGGTGCGTTTGGATGTTTTTTTTTAAAGTATTTTTTGAGAAATATTTTTATGAAAGTAGAAGTTACTTTACATTAGATATAATGACAAAAAATATTTTTTATGACAAAAAAGTGTTTTTGAGTTGTTTGAACGTCAAATATAAAAATATGATTTTTCTTATAAAATTATGATCAAGGCTACGAAAAAGACACTTTTCAACTAATATGTTTGGATGATAAAATTTTAAAATTCTTTTTTTTTCTTATAGTTAATATTAATATTTCATATTTTTCCCAAGTTTTATAAAATTTTTATTTAAGCAATTATATGTATATATATTTAGATATTATTTTATTTCAAATTACAAATAAAGTATAAAATTACGAAAATGTTTTATTTTGTTTTAAATTGATATAGGGGTGAAAAATAAAGGATGACAAAAATAGTAAAAAGGATTACATACTCAACTTTAATTCTAACTCACATGAAAATAAAGAAAGAATGTCAAATTTAAATTTAAAATCATTCATATTAACGATACTAACATCAAGCAAGTCAAAAATTAAAATAAAAAATATATTAAAAATATGTACAAAAAAAAATAATAACACATTCACTATGATAATTGGTTCTTAATAGTATTTCTAACTCTTTTTTTTTATATACATATTTCTCATTTACTTGTATTGACTCTTGTCATTCGTAATAATCAGTTATAATATTGTCACTACTAGTATTGAAATTTTTAATAAAACATACTTGAAGAGTGTATGTATATTTATATATTTACATATAGTGTAAGAAGACAGTAAAACCTACCCTTGTAACTTGATCTAATTCATGTATGATTCTGTTAAGACATTTGAATTCAAACCCACGAAGAAATGTTAGCATATCTCTTAACAACAATCTTTTGCTATCAGAGAAAGCCATTTGATCGCCAATATGTTTAAATTTTTGCTACGGTTTATTTAATTCCTATTTGAAGCAGAAGAAAGAAGGAATGACTTGATTTTTAGAGAAAATTAACAAGTTTGTTAGCTTGGTAAAATTTATCATTATCAAAAATATTAACCTGTAAAATTTAAATCAAATAAAATTTACCTAAAAAATAAATTCACTTCTTAAAATGTCTCCACCCACCAGTGACCCCCACTCCTTGGGTGACAGTGACTACGACTGCAACCCCTGCCCTTGCCCTTGCAGCCCGTCCCCCCTGGCCTACAATTGGAACCCCTGCTCACCAGAGCAATCCCACAGCACTGCCCCTGCTACCCAGTACCCCCTCTTTCTCTTCTCCAATATTTTCTAATAATATATTTATAATTTTACAAATTTATTATTTAAATTTATAATTTTATACTTATAATTTTATCAATAAACAATTACAACTTATAAACGTAATTTAAAAAAATATATTTGTAATTTTATAAATTTATTTTTATAATTTTATAAATTCATACTTTTAATTTAAATATAAAAAATGTGAAAATATATTTTAGAAAATTAAATTATTGTATGAGTAAGTATTTTTTTAATTTAAACCTTTTAAGTCATTAATTACAAAAATAACCTTTTAAATAAATAATTTCATTAGACTAACCGGCTTGATAATTTTTGCTTTTTTTAAAAAAAATTTTTTGGCAACGCTCAAATTTGCCATTTGGGTTGCATAAAACCCTGCGTTAAATCAAAGGCAGTTTACAGTTTGCGATGAGAACTTGATTTTTATTGTTGGATAAATTATCCCCCTTATATTATTATACTGATTGACAATTAACGGGTCACCGCTAAGGTTTGCGGGCCCGATGTTTCAAAATATTACTTGTCCCAATGACTACAAAATTGGCCAACAAAAAAGAATCACGTGGCACCTGAAACGTTTCCCACGTGATGGTCATGCCACGCAAGCGTGCTTTCGTGCCACGACGGTCCCGTATTTTATTGGACACTTGTTTATTTTATCCCCCGTTAATTATTCTGTTCACTCTAAAAAAATTTGCACGCCTAACTTCATCAAACGATTCACCAGTAAAAGTTTTAAATAACTAAAAAAGCGTATAGTACGACGAAATCTTATCAAAAGAATAAAAATAAGAATAGTAATTTTAAAGAAATACGTTTAGTAGATATTTTGAAATGAAAATTCTCATTCTTTAAGGAATAAAAATTCTATCAAATGAGGGAGGAGTGATGAAATTCGAATTGCATCACTAGAGTGATAGAATCCGGATTTCATCCTCTGGTGGAATCCAAATTAAATATATAATTACTATAATATCTTTTATTTAATGAATAAATGATAAAAATATCTTATAAATATAAAAAAATATAAGTATTTATAATATTATATATTAATATATTATATGTTATATATATCTATTATAATATAAAAAATTATATAATATAATTATATATTTTTCTATACCTGGTATAATATAATAAATTGTATAATATGATATATTATATTATATATATTATGTAATTATTATATTTATATAATATAGATATATAACTTATTATATATATACATACAAGCACACATATAAATGAATTTATTATTTTAATCTTAAAAAAAAATTAATTTGAATTTTTTTAATATATTTAGAATATATTAAAAGTTAATTTTTTAAAAAATATTTAAATTCTTATAATAAAGGATATTTTTGTCATTGAACATTTTTTTTGTTTACTTTCCTATCTTTATTCCATCATATCAAACATAACGATAAAATGAAAATCCTTATTCCATCAGTGTATACCAAACATACTCGTAGAAATCCTAATTCCATTCCATTCCCATTCCATCAAAAATCATTCCATCGTACCATACGCTACCTAATTTAATTTGCTTATTTAAGTAGGCCGCATAAGGCAGTTGGAATTTATCATGTGACTTAAAACGGCTTAATGGCTCACTTAGCCATCTAAGTTACTTGAATTTATAAAAATTCTCTCTCTCTCTCCCTCTCTCAAAGCATTCAAATCTTTCCTTAAGCTCAGAAATTTCAAGTTATCAAACGCTGAAACTAACTAAAATGTCAATCTAAATAGCTTGTCTCTCTCTTTGGTAAGTTTATATTAAAAATTATTTATTTATCTTATTGTTTTTCTTATTTTATAATTTTACAACTTCAAAATTATGATTGAGGGAACTAATAATTCCTCACCTATCTAGCAGGTAGTTCATGAATTGTCAAGTGGAACAAGAAGTTATTAAAGCACAGACCATACCTACTGGCAAATAAACCATTAAGTAATGAAGAACTTAGAATTGTCACAAAAGTTTACAGGGAAGAGTAAGTTCATGGTATCACCAGGCAAGTAAACTGTGTGTTGGAAAGAAGGCTAAGGCTAGTATCAGATTACACCGCAAGATAGTGTGTGGGAAATTAATCATTTTAATTTAGAACACAATCATAAACTTACTAAGTCAGAAGAAAGATATTTGATAAATTCAAATCGCAAATTACTTAAAAAAGAGTAAAACGAATACTACTGAGTTCAATAGTGAAGAAAGGAATACAATCAACAAAATATATGCTTACCCAGCAAAAGAAGTTGGTGAAGTTAAGCATGTTTAAGTTACTTTACAATATTTTCCCATCAACAGTAGATTCTAGCAAGTCAGAGTCTTTCCATTACAGCAATATCAAACGTCAGAGGAATTATCGAAGCAGCCACTACTAAGAATATAACAAAAATATGTAGTCTAAATTTGCTCTCCCCCCCCCCCCCCCCCCACCACAACACCCTTTCTACTCTTTAAATTAGAAGATCCAATGTGCGCAAATTTGGTCAAAATGTTTGGAACCACAATACACTTAATTTATGTAATTTGATACCATTGCCACTCCTAAATTTTGCAGCAAAACAGAAAGGCTTGAGCATGTCTTCACAAAGGGCTTCCAAAGTAACAATCTTGGCAGGATTTCAGAACCATAATTTCAAATACAAGTACAATGTTGTGCAGAATCACAGTTCCTAAATCTAATGTGAATATAAGTCCTGGGATAACCTTCTTCACAGATTGAAATTCAATAATAGGTACTTGAGGGAAATCTTTAGTCAGTATACTTATTTGGAGAAAAATTAACAAAATAGCTAGCTGAATCTAATAAAATATGGCCAACTTTTTCATGCACAAAACTAATGGGATATTCTTCCTCAAGTAAAATCAAATGCACTCCAAAAGGACCATAACCACAATACAAAGAATAATACAAGTTTGCAACCTCTAACATGTCTAGAAGTCCCATAAATCCCATCAATTAACTTTCTTTATTAGTAATATATGACATTTTTAGTTTAAAAACTAAAGAGAGAAACATGTACGCAAAAGAGATAAACATGAAAATTGGCAAATACTAAGTTGAATGTACTATAGTTACGCTAATGCTAGTGCTAATTGCATTCAAAAAACTCATTAGTTAAGAAGTCCTTTTCCCATCACGGATGCAACATTAACTTAAAAGTAATCTTGTAAGAAGTGGTAGTGTAAGGGCCACATATGAAATTAAAAGAACATGACAGACATACATCAAGGAGTAGCAAACCAAAACGGAAATTTAAAGTTGGTGTAATCAAACAAGGGTTAGAAGATACAAGTAAAAATAATAACCATAAATAATGATACAAGGGTCTTAAGGCCCTAGCTACAAGAAAAGCAAATATTACACAAAATCATTGCAGATAACACTCATAGATGCCTCTTGATAGGAGCAGAACCCACGCAATAGCATTAAAAAACAGACAAGGAAGAAGAATTACTGAACACATTAATTTGCTTTGTGACTGCAAGATTCAGTAAACCACACAGTGATACCCTTGATGTCTTTTAAACCTGGAGCAAATTGAGTTCCAACATTCCATTTAAGAAATATGTGAGTAACTTAAAGAAATCTTCAAATACAATTAATTCTGAAAATCCATTAACATTGCTGTAACCACTGACAGACACGTATTACGGAAGTTTTCAAGCCCATTGAATCTGCAAGAAAAAAATATATCAAAAGAGAAGGGAAAAAAACAGTTCCTTTCCTTCCCTGTCCTTTTTTTTTTTTTGCCATCATAAAGGGTGGGTTACTCATTTTCAGATTAACATTGGATTAGGCTCAGTTTACATGATGAAATCAACCAGGAAAATTGACCAGTAATCAAACATGGCTTCAACCATTAAATTATAAGACCTTAAGTTTCCAGAAATGAAGGCTCCAAGTGCAGTATCCTATTATGTTTATTGGCAACACCCCCCGGCCCCCCCAAGACTATAGGCCTAGAAAAATGTGTAGATTTTGCTCCCTTCATTCAGAATTCTAGTATGCTCATTTAATGAAGAAATCTAGTTGCTCATTTAATTCGGCAGCTTCTTTCTCCATGGAGCTAGAGGATAACAAGCCTAACCAAATGGCAAATAGAGGATTAAAAAAAAAAAAAGTGATGCTCACAACAGTAAACATAGGAATTCGGTGCGCAAGAACAGAGTTTTATTCATCCATCGTTTCACGATATAAACTTGTGCTTTAGGTTCTCATACGGTTCACAGTCGTTTCAAGATGAAATGCTGTAAAATAATCTGAAAATCCCCCAAAATAGGGCAATAGATATTGAAACAAAAACCTATTTTGCCGCCAAAGCAAAACGTTAGATAAATTAAGCAAACAGAAAACTCATTCAACTCAAGACCCTTCACTGTTCTTCGAACCTACCGGACGATCCTGTTCTGATCCCTCCGTGCCTTTTCGTTCTTCGGAACCATTCGACGACGATTCTTTGGCTTTCTCTTTCTCCAATTCTCTGACGGCCTCCTCCTCCGCCGCCTTCTCCGCCTGCAGGATCGGGGCGTAGTAGTCCGAATGTGCCTCCATACACTTCTTCAAAGCTCCGGTGACCTCGAAGCACTTCTCCACGATGTCCTCCTTGTTCTTCTCAGCTTCTTCGATGCAGTTCTCCCAAGCAATGAAGCTATCCCTGCATCCACCTGCCTTCATGAACAGGCAAAATCCGCATTCACCTTCCTCTTCCTCTTCACCTTCAGCCTCCTGGTCTCCCGCTTCCGAATTGATCGATTCTCGGTCTTCTACGGGCTTTGTATTGTCCATTTGTGGATCTGAGACCTGTTGCAGTTCTGGTGTTTGATGTTGGGTTCGGGATTCGGGGGTTAATTTTTCGGTTTGATTTGTTTCTGAGATTTCTGAAGCTTCAGTGGACGACATGGTAGCCTGCTGCGTCGGGGTGTCGCTAGGGTTTGTAGAGGGCGTGGAAAGAAGGTCTCCCATGGCCGACTCTTTAAACCCCAAAACCCCTTGCTATCTTCCCAACCCCTGAAAATTCTTTCCTTCTTTTTCATTTTCTATTTTCTCGGTCAAACATAATATTGGCGTGCTATTCCTCTTATTCAAACGACGTGTTCTTTTCACAGCCTATGACAAAGTGAAATGTGTTCTGACACAAAATTTTAGGTTAATATGCTGGCGAAATAAAATATTATTTTTCTCGCATATATTTTTACACATACTTTTAAAATTTCGTTATTTTTTGTACATTATTTTCAAATTTAAGATCTATGTAAAAAATTAAAAATATTTAAGGTTATAAAAAGAAAATAAATTAATAACTGACAAGAAGATTGGAGTAACTAAAAAGAAGGCAAAAGATACAACTTGAGACAACATCCTGGCAGAGAGTTCACAAAAGATGAACAATAACCTTTGAGGGGGGATCCCCCACCAAAACTTGAAAGCCAATAAAATGTTCAGCTAGATCTTGAGGGTCAAGGCCAATACTTTTGGGGTTAGGTGGCCCAATGACCAAAAATGGCGGAGGCAAGGAAAGCAACTGACTTGATCATCAGGGGGAAAAAGATAAATGGAGAGAACAGAAGAAATCAATTACATGTAAAGAGGTTCAAAGACTAGAGACCTCCTACCTTTAGAGGTTGTTCGGTACATAAGATAAAGGTGGATAAGAGTAATTTATTCGCTCTTATCCTATTCAGATCTATGTTCGGTAGGTTAGATAAAGTAAAACCAGATAAAGTTTGGGTAGGAGAGAGATTTAATAATAGTATGGCCAAATCCAAATAAACTATATTGGAGAGATGGATATGATAATTTTATCCGATCCATACCCAATTTATTTGGACAATACTACCCCTACTACTACCACTAGCCGCCATTTCAACTACCTTTGTTAAACAAGATAATTATCTAGATCACTATACAATCAACATACTTTATTCAACTACTTGCTCTATCCTGCCTTATCCGGTGTAACCTATCAAATAACCTTCTAGTGGAGAAGAGAATGGTGTCATTAAGGTGAAGTGCTAGCAAAAGGAATCCAAGAACAAGTTCAGAATCAAGGCCTACCTCGAATAGAAAAAGTTAACTTGGCCTCCATTGCGTTGACTGGCGAGGCCCAAAACTGATAACTAATTAGTGAAATTAAGCGTCACACACAATACTTCATACCTAAATATTGAATGAGAAAATTAATTAATTAATTAAAGAACGTAATCAATCTAAAAAATTAAATTGATAAATTGATTAATCGAATTCAAGTGGATATCATTTATTTAAATAGCCTCAGTTAGAAAAAATAATAATCCTTTGGATCAATTGATTAAGCTTGTGAATTAATTAAAATAGGTTTTAAGTAACTAAGTCCAAATAAGGAAATTGATTGGTTGGACTAATTAATTGAGCCTAATTAAATTGATTTTAATTAATTAATAAGGTCATTTGAATGAGGCCCAAGTACTCGACCGATGACTTAAGCTAATAGGAGAAATTAATAAAATAATTATTTAAAATGAAATAAAATCTAAACTGCGGATAATGCCATGTGATGGCCTGGCCATTTTGATGCCTATGGAAAGGTTTTTATGGCCGGCCATTAAGGGGTGTTCTTGTGAAGAAAAACCCTACTGACTCTTCTCTTATTCTCCTACTTGCTCTTAAACTCTCTCACTTTCTCTTGTAAAGAGAAGTATTTCCAATATGATATTGCATAGACTGGCATATAATTTACAATCATTGCTAGCATAGTGAAAAAGGCTAGTAGGCATTGGGCGGATAGATTCTCTTAAATAGAGGACGCTTGAACTCTTAACATGTAGACATTCTTGACTTGCAAATGTGAAGTTTGGATTTGCTCTCATTTGACTTCAATTGGATAATGTTTATAAACTTTTGACTAAATTCATGTTTAAATTATTTTTGCATAACAGGTTCTAGCATTGGATGCCAAATATGATTAGATAATATGGTTCCAAATAGTTTGAGAATTTTATTCACTCTCTGCATGTGCCTCTATTTATGTGTTATTTGCTTACATTCCTTCATTCAGCTAAAACCCTAGCTTCTTGAATAATGTGTGCCTTTTCAATATCTCCACTCCTCCATCTCCTCCACTACTTCCTGTCTGTTATTGTGGTTACCATCACCTTTGCTAATGTATAGAGGCAACAATGCTGGCTTATTTATACGGCATCTTCTTTGTTTCGTTCGACCTTCTTTGACTATGACATTGTCTTACTATTTTTTATCAACCCCACAAATCTCCTTGGCTTCATCATTTTTCTGGCAATCATTTATTCATTTTGCAACCGTTAGCTTCTTCCATACTTAGTGATTTCGTCTATAATCCTCTTTACGAGCATTGCTCGATTCCTCCCTTAGGTTTGTCAACTCAGTGCCTTCTAATCTCACTTGCTATTATTCAAATTTTAGACTTCCATCAAACTCAAACATGGCATTAATAGATACAAATCTTATAAGATTTTAGATTAAATTTGGTTATATATGTCTATATTAGATTTGGATTTAGAATATCCTAATTGGATTTGAACTGACCTATTGACAGCCCTAAGAGGAACTAGCAACATCTTTAATATATTTTGTACTTTCAAACTACTTTTTCTAACTTACTTTTCTTTATATACATACATAAATATATATGTATGTGTATGAGTATGTGTAGTATTTTAGGCAATTTAGTTTGCTTGAGCAGGTTAAATGGTGTCTTTTTCCTATTAAGTACTTAGGATTTATTTTCTTAAAAATTCTAGTACGTATCGCACAGTTTTAATGTTTGAGATTCAATCCCCTTATCCTTTTGAGAGAAGGAATTGATTAAAACTCAAGTTTTTAATGCAAAAGAAGTCTCCATTTAACCTGCTCAAGGCATACTAAATCACATAAAATTTTATATATATGGTTATAAAGGGAAGGGCAAACAAAAAAGAAGGGAAAATTTTTGTTGAACTCATACCTAGAAGCATGAGAAGAAGAGTGTTAAAAGGGTACCCACCAAGCCAATTGGTTGGGTAGAAAAACCATTCTTATTGTGATACAGCCTCTCCAATGCGATATATTATTAGATAGATTTATATGTATAATGGTCACCTCCATCTCAAGGATAAGTTATTTTTATGTGAGGATAAATCCCCTTGATCATACAAGCTACAACTAGATTGTGCATGAGATGGGAATCATGAAATTTGTCTCTATGGCTTTGATCTAAATTAGTTTAGGATCGGAGGATCTATTGAGACTAAAGGAATTGACATGATCTAATTAGACTCGCGTTAATGGTACATATTAATTAGATGAATGCTCATTTTTGAATGTTGGTGTTGGGATATGACTATACATGATTTAGTGCTCGTTACAGAATGAGTTCAATGAACTACTCACCTAGAGACTTCCCTTTGGGTTATGTCGATTAGGGATATTCTCTTAGTTTACATTATAGTCGTATGTGGTCCTTTGACTTGAGATTTCATAGTAGTCACATGCATGGATGTTTATGTTTTGATATCTTTTCTATCAGCTTTCTCGTCGAGAAAGATTGCAAATGGGTTTATGTTGAGTATAAATTATTAATCTGTGAATGTTTATGTGAATCGATAAAGGGATCTATTGTCCACTATGTAAAGTGGTGATCTTTTATGCTTTCTATGGGGTAATTGGTTGGAAATCTCTGGTCAAAGTAGATAATAATTAGGCAAAGATTTCCTAGATTTGTCCTCGAGCCAAGTGACCTAAAGTGGATCCATAGTTATTAGGGTCATAAGCACACCAGCCTTATGTAGCCATGTCCTAGACCTTGTTCAAGAGATAGTGATGGAAGGACTGGCCTCACATAGTTGACCAAATATTTCATATGGTTCACCCATATTACTTTCAGTTATTACGAGGAGTTTCACACCCTTCCCTTGCTACTGAGTAGAGCATGACAGTGGGGCAATGACCAATATACTCTTGTAACAAAAATCCATTAGTATGCCAGGCAACCCCTAATTGGAGACTTGTCTTGGTATCTGTAGCAATGTAATAAATACATACTAATATGCAACATATATGGGAATATGATTTCAAGACTCTAGGAGGCAAAATCAGTCAACTACCTAACGCAACAGAAGATAAAAAAAATAAAGTTGTTAGTAGAGTCCACTAATTACACATTTATAGTATAAAAGTCCACTAAACTAGACTACTATTAACTTATTAGTCCAGACATATGACTACCATAATGTAGTCAATTCTAGCTTAAATACAATACAACACAAATTACTGTAGATGGCCCAACCTTTGCTAAATGCAAGAAAAAGTGGAATAAAAGAGTGAGATCGCAGTTTCAGTGAATGACATGCAATCTAATTTCAGTAGAAATGGTGAGGGTTTGTAGTTTAGTAAGTAGAAAAAATATAATAAAATAATATAAACATTATAAAAGAAACATATATATAAAACCAAAAAATAACTACACCAACATAAAGTAGCCTTTTAAAAGGGTTTTCATAGATTTCATATCCACAATTTAAGAAAAGTCTCTAAAATTAGAAAAAATGCCACTCACCTATGTGTCAAGTTTGCTAGTGATCAAGTGGGTTGATATAAGACTGATCTAAGTTGTGGCTAATCCTATCTTTCTCTTCTACATGAGCGTACATGTCATCATGAATGAGTTTGTATAAATGCATGCTCTAAGTACAAATGAGAATTTCTTAAGATTTATTATAAATATTTGTGTAAATACCAATATCATGAGTTCTATGCATGTCTTTAATTTTTTTAAAAAAAATTAGGCTCTTTGGCTTGTCTTATCTTCTTTTGAAATCTTTGCTTTAGTTTATCTTTAGCTCCTTTTTAAGTTTATTGACCCATGTTTAGCATGCTAAAATTTTACTTAAATTCATATTCTATTTTTATTAAATTTCATTGTAGTCAAATTTTTAATGCATTTTAGCTTCCCTAAAATTTTCCTCATATAA